CGCTCCATTTCCCCCCACAGTTCCCAAAAACTCCAGTCAAAATACGTCACATTTTAGCTCGTCTGTCTTTTAAAGCCTTGCAGCAGTAAAAATCACAGCTAAAACAGGTTCACAGCGTCCTGGTAACTCGTGGTTTTGTCTTTGGAGAAGACCGTTTGTAATAAGGAGCAGGGATGGCTGAAAGCTGTTTGTTTGTTTACCTTTTATATTCTGCTGAAATGCAGACTTATTGACAAGAAGGTGCTCGAAACGCTGACACTGAACTGAGTCACGTTCTTCATCACAATAAACATCAAGCTGCTTTTTATGTGAAACACAGCTGAGCCTTTGGAAGAAAACAAAGTACGCGAGATTTATCGAGGAGTTTAATTTCAGAGACCGGCCTGAGCGAAGAGGAGGCTGTGGAGGTGCTGAAGGCTGTGAAAGGTGGAGGAGGAAGTGGTGACGTCTCAGCATCTCTGAGCGCTCTGGAGCTCCTGCAGAAGGAGGAGGAGTTAAGGAGCATCGTGACATTCTCCTCTCAGCTAGATGAATGTCTCGGAGGAGGAATCCCTGTCGGGAAAATAACGGAAGTCTGTGGAGTTCCAGGAATCGGAAAAACGCAGCTGTGGTAAGACACACACACACACACACACACACACACACACACACACACACACACCATCATCTATAACCTTAGAGATGTTTTGGAGCTGTGATGATGGCGTGAGGAAAACAGTCGAGGAAATCAGTCACCGTGATGTGGATCAGTAAAGTGAGTGATGATGTCGCCCTTTCAGTCTGCAGCTGGCGGTGGATGTTCAGGTGCCTCAGTGCTTCGGGGGGGTCGAAGGTCAGGTGATGTTTATCGACACAGAAGGCAGCTTCCTGCTTCAGAGGGTCACCGACATCGCAGCAGCCGCCGTTAGACACTGCTCCTTATTGGCTGAGGACGATGAGCAACGAGCTGCCATGGAGACCTTCACCGTGGAGACCATCCTGTCCAACATCTTCTTGGTAATGTCTAAGTGATGTATGCAGTGATGTCACTATGCATCTGCAAACTTCTAAAATTCTGATTGGCTCTCTATCTCGCCTCACTCAGGCGCGTTGCCATGACTACGTGGAGCTGCTAGCTGAGCTCCATCTACTTCCTGACTTCCTGTCCCAGCATCCAAAGATCCGCCTCCTGGTGATCGACAGTGTGGCATTTCCTTTCCGCCTGCTCTTTGACGAGCTTTCACAAAGGACACGCCTCCTTAATGGCGTCGGCCAGAAGCTAATCACCATGGCAATAAACCATAACATTGCAGTGGTAATCACCAACCAGATGACGACCCGGATCCGGGACGGCCAATCGCACATTGTCCCTGCCCTTGGGGAGTGTTGGGGCCACGCCCCTACAATCAGGCTCCTCCTACAGTGGGAAGGGTCGCGGCGTCTGGCGACCATCTTTAAGTCTCCATGTCACGTGGAAACCATGGTGCAATACCAGATCACCCCCGAAGGCTTCAGAGATGCCGATCAATCAGAAATGCCGCACAGCAAACGGCCTCGAATGGACACTGACCAATCAGCTGCTGATCCAAAAGACACAAGCAGCTGATTGGTTGGAAACTGTCCAGTAAGAAGAGGCTGATTGAGCATTTGTCTCGTGTGGATTTAATGACACTGCTGTGTTCACACAGGAGGTTCCTGTTTAAATAAAGTTCAGTTTGAGTCCAGCAGGTGGAGACACAGAACTGGTCATCAGTCAGTGGCTCTTCCTGTCTGCGCCGTTCATCCCTGACTTTCCCGAGCAGATGCTGAATACTTCTGCGTTTAGAGAAGCTGCTCTGCAGAAGAGCAGGGGTCAGAGGTTAGAGGGTGGCTCTCTTACTTGCAGATTCTTCATATTTAGATATGGGGATATTTATAGAGGGAGATTAGCACTACAGACACATCTGGATTTATTTAGTTTATTAAAACACTGATTCTGTTGTTTCTACTGAGACGATCTTGTCTTACCCTCAGGTGCAACACACATTACTGTTGTGTTCAAGCTTTAGGATTGTTTCTTCTGCTGGAAATAGGCAGAAACACAGGCTCATTTCCAGTCCACCCTCTCAGTCCATGATGAGTGTGATTCTGTTTAGAGTGCCTTAATTAAGGGGTGGGGTAGAAATACAGCGGCGAGCTTTGGGATGTCCTCGCTTTTCACTGATGGAAAACAGGAGGATTGATGTGTTAAAGCGTCTTACTGACTGATGACTATGAGCATCAAGCCACAATGGAGACCTTCATGACTGCTTGTAAAAATCGTGTCTGGAATTTTCACCTGTTGAGTTTAAATTTAATTTAGGTCAAGTCAAAAAAAATCTTTATTTATCCCTGAGGGGCAGTTAAGATAAAGTTTTTTGACATGAAATGAATTTATTCTTTTCTTTTATTATTGTGACAACAACAATTAAAATAATGAACTTCATTGATGAAGCACCTTTTCAGAAGCAGAATATGGTCAGATCCAGCCATTTTTAGACAGAAATGTTATGGCCAGGGTCGCCACCAAGGGGGGGCCAGGGGGGCCACTGGCCCCCCCTCAAAATATACAAGACTGTCTAGTGTTGGTTATTATTTTTAAACATTTTTATTTTAAACATGAGCACAAGAGACAGGAAGACACTTCACAGTGAGTTGAAATATTGTGTATAATTTTGAATTCATTGTTTACAATTGTTTTGTCATGCCTTCACGATTTCCCGTCGTCCCGTCCTTCATTGCGTCCCTGCACTGTTCTGTTTTTGGTGCGCCATCTCAATATTTTTAATGGCCCCCATATGAAAAAAATTCTGGAGGCACTCGTGGTTATGGCTTCAAAATCCAGACGCTAACAGCAATGCCCGGTGTCCATCTTTTATATACAGTCTGTCTTTTCTCATGGGAGAGTCCACACACAAAGCCTGTTGGGGTTACTTCAGGTAGGACATCTGACATAAATACAAATCTAGCAAATTAAAACATGTCGAGCTGCCTGCTGTGCTGTTGTGAATAAGGGAGCAGCTGAAAAAAGTTCTTCAGTGTGTGGATTTTCCACACAGAAGTAAGAAGAGAAAGGGCAGCTAATAAATAAACACCATCTCCCATGATGCACTTCTGCTGACATGATTGGCAGCTGCAGAAATAAACTGAAATAATTTCAAAGAAGTTTTTGTCATTCCGAACTTTTTTATTATTATTATTGTTTTCGACATTGAATATTTACAGGCAGATGTTCCCTAGCAACAGATGTTGTTATCACTACACACAGGAAGATCAAAGTGGGTTTAAACATCAGGAGGTAAACACTGAACACCTGTCCGACACCTGAGCAGGTAAACACTCAGAAGTGACAGAAGCCAGCAGTGGTGGCTGTCGGTAAACAAAGGGTCAGCTTGGTACATTTTGGGCACTTTTCAGGGCATTTCCTATCACTGCTGCCCAGAGATGTTTCTGAGTTAACGAAATTGGACATGCATGCTTTATTAAAAGTTGGGTGGTTACTGTTTTCTCCAGCTTAGTGAACACCAAACAGAAGTCCTTCAGCACAGATTTGTGCCTAAGCTAAAGG